GACCCCATACTCGAGGTTGAACGCATTACACACGGCTCGCCAGGCCTCCTTCTTGAACCCGTTGTCAGCTCGTTTGCCGGAGTCAGCTTGGGCTTGTAGCTGCGTGACAAGAAACAAATCGCGGGCGTGCGACCAGGTGGCACGGCTGTCCTTCATTCCCAACGATGTTGCCATTTCGAATTGTTCTGAAAGAAAAGAAGAATCACGTGTCTGGCAAAAAGTGCCAATATTTTCACACAAAATGGAGTTTTCGTCGTTATTCAATAATTACTGATTTGAGATGTTTGCCCCCGCACAAAATGCCATTTTATCCTCCAACTGTTACCAGACGCGCTCTTAGACATTATTTAAGCCTGAGAAATTTTTAAACAATGAATTTAACCCTGGAATTGCCAAAAAAGGTGCAAAGCACAATACACTAAAACGTTAACATAAGCTTACCTCTCCTAAAATGAAACGATTGGAACAGGTTATCCGGACCATGTGTTGGAACTGTCCCACCGAATATTCTTGATATACATAACCTTGTAAAATTATACGTACCTGACCATAATAAATACCCTATCCGTACTGTATGTATCGAGGCATACACAGTTCAAGGTTAAAAAAGTGATAATAACCTTGTAAAATTATACGTATCTGACCATAATGAATACCCTATCCGCACTGTATGCATCGAGGCATACACAGTTCAAGGTTAAAAAAGTGATAATTAATTGGTCCTCAAAAATACAGTAAACTTGCTTGGAAAGTCGGCTTTTTGTATTAGAAGATATCTTGAAATGTAATAATTCAATTATGAAGTGAAAGCTTTGTTAACTGTAAGAATCACTTCGCAAAATGTGAAGTGAGTGGAGATATGCGAATTCTACGGTGACTGCTCCGAAAAAGTGATCATAAATTGGTCATTTATGTTAGGACAATTCGCTGCGCTGACAAAGCAAGTGAAACGGGTGTAGAGCGACTTAGAAACAAAATAAATCTCGGAGAGAAAGTGAAACGGGAGTAAAAGAGCCCAGAAGGGGAATTACTCGATTAGACACAAGGAGACAGGGCGCAAAAGAGAAGACGATGAGTGTCGCATGTTGGGAATCAATTTATGCTCTGCCAACGCGGAATAAGTTATGGCGGTTCAACGCATCAATCGCTTGATCAGGAAGATGGATATGAAGGAAGTTGAAGCCGCTTTGATTTCTACCACGCGTGCCGAGACGGATCCTGGTGTGTATGTGTGCGATGCCTCGCTTGAAGATTGGAAACGATATGTGAAATCCGAGCAACAAGCGCTGCTGTCGCGTGCAATGGCTTGGAACCATGGCAAGATTTACATTGTCGAATTGCCTGGAAGAATTCACGACAAGATCTTGGGCTCTCTAGACTTTGCTGTACTTTCTGCAACTGGTACGGGCGAGGAGCACTTACTATCCTGTCGATCAGTATTCGTTGACAATCTTGCGCACATCGAGCCGGATTCCAGCTTTGGTCCTGCCCCTGGTTTTGGCGCAACTCTGCCCCATGATTTGGCCTGGATGGAGTATCATACGTTGAAAGTGGAAGTTGGAGTGGCAAAAGGATGGCCACAATTGGATGCGAAAGCCGTTCAATGGAGCCAATTTCCTGGAGTGGAATACATTCTCCTCATCCGTCTTTCACCGGCTCTGGGAGACTACCAGTACAAGCTGCGTTCAGTGGATGGTGGCGCTCTAGTACCACCGGCTATGGTTGCGACACCGATTATGAATCCGACCAATGTGGTGTTGGATTCGCGCCGCCTTTTAGGGCTTCCTGCACTGGCACCGATTCCAGCTCGTTTCACTGCCCCCAATCTAACAATTGATTTGTTTCCGCTCGTGCAGAGGATTATAGCCCTTGCTAACGCGTAGTTGGAGCCACCTTGGAATGCACGAGTGCGTTTCATTTCGTTTCATTTGTACTTCGTTTGAAGTATATTAATGAATAATCATACTTCACATCGGAAATCGTGAATTATGTAAGACATGTAGGTAGCATCCGACATCGAACCGACACATTTCTGGATGGGGATTGGGTAACCGACATCAAGTCTCGTTTTGATTGGATGACCGATGTGAGAGGATTTCGATTGGGCGATCGTCCTGTCGTTTGTCAACATATCACGCACATAGCGTGATAGCACGATATGATTGGTCAAATATCAA